ATTAATATAATTAATTAGTAATTAATATAATTAATTAGTAATTAATATAATTAATTAGTAATTAGTATAATTAATATAATTAGTAATTAATAATTAATATAATTAATATAATTAGTAATTAATAATTAATATAATTAATTAGTAATTAATATAATTAATTAGTAATTAATATAATTAATATAATTAGTAATTAATAATTAATATAATTAATTAGTAATTAATATAATTAGTAATTAATAATTATTAATAATTATTAATTATTCATCTTAGCTAAATTATGTCAAATTTACCATGTAAAAGGATGTTTTTGCTTCTCTTTAGATTTACTTTCTTCCATATTAGAAATGCAATGCACAACTATTAAAATTTTTCAAGCCTCTGTAAGTTTAAGACAAATATTACACTAAACATTGACCAGTATTCAGACCTCAGTAACTTTCAGCAAAAATTTACAGTGAACATCCATCAGTTTGATATTTTTCAGTAAACTAAACCTGTTTGATGCAACCAAGTATCTTAGAGTTTATGAAAACGTCACAAAAGATTCTCAGAAATTAATTTGTGTTTCTTTTGCTATAGGTTCTGTATAAACTTGCCCACACTGAAGCCTGTAAACGTGATGTTGCAGCTGAATGCACAGCAAGGTTAGTACCAAATCATGCGGTGTTATCAGCTCATTTTTTGTTATTCTTTCTTGTTGTTATTGTGGATTTATTGATTATTCCTCTTTCTTATTTCATAAACTATAAAAATATTTGAATAACAAATATAGAATAGTTAATTATACATATCTACAGTATTATCTGAGGCTTTATGTTCTTTTGATAAGGAGGTGCTTAATATGACAAGTAATTTGATGTATACTACAAAAGGACCAGTGAGACTGGGTTAATACTTTACAAATTATAACATAATTATAACCCTAGAATGCCAGCATTAAATTTTCAGTCATTAACACCAAGTGGTATGGGGTCATAGTGACCTCATGCTGACCTTCTAGGCTTAAAGAAAATATGTTGCATCAAGATAGGCCAAGTCATAGATGTAAAGTTGAACAAGTTTTCATGGCACTGATGAAACCCATTAATGGGTTGTTTTCTTAACTAACGAAAATGGTGCAATATAGCCTTTATAACATTAAATATAGTGAGAGAACAATTAGTAATATTTAAAGAACAACAGTATTGGCTGTCAATGTTGTTAGCTAAAGAATTTTAGTATAAAGTAC